GTATGGTGGTAACCTCAGAAAATAGAGTCTTTGGAGTTGGGTGTGTGTGAGTAATAGTGTAGAGATAAGAGGTGTGGTGAGTGGAGCTAATTAGTAATATTGGTTAATTATTAATTGGTTAAATAATACATATAGGTATTATTTAATTTAATTAGATAAATAAAAGGGTATTATTATTAGTAGTAGTATTATTATTAAGGGTAATAAAATAATAGTTATAATAAAATAATAAAAGGATTTTTGGGAATAGAAAAGTGTCAGAACGTGAAATAAGAAAAAATGAGAAGGGAAGCTAGGGCTCAAGGGAAGAAGACAACCACCATTGTTGAGAGGTAGAAGAATTTCAAGAAATCTAAGGTAAGGGTGAGATTATGATTATCTAATGGATTGTATAATGATTTGTGGGTAGGGGTTAATTACTTGTTAGAACTTAATTCTATCATATGTGATAAACCTTCAATGGGGAAATTTTTTCTTGTCGATGATATTGGGTATAATTGATAATGAGAAATTGTATGTTCGTGTTGATGTAAATTGGTTTGATTTAACTGTGTGATTTCATGTGTTTATGTGTGTTTTGGTAGATTAGAATGTTGCTAATGAGGCATATGAATAGGAATTGAAACTTGGAATCTGAATTGTGCATTGTGTGAGAGTTGGGGGTGTTTGGATGTGGAGAAAAACTAATTTTTGTACTTTGAAACAGTAGAAAACTGCTTCTGTCGCAGTGGAAATCGATTTCCACATATGAGGAAATCGATTTCCTAGTATATTTTTGTCAAAAATTGGATTTTGGGTAGTGGAAATCGATTTCCACTTTTTGGGAAATCGATTTCTAGTTTGAAAATTGGGAAAAATAGGCTTCTAGAGTGAAGGAAATTGATTTCCTAAAAGGGGGAAATCGATTTCTATCAGTTCTGGCAGCATTTTTTTGTAAAACTTCAAAAATTCATAACTTGAGCTTCGGGTGTCCGTTTGACACGCCGTTTGAACATGTGGAAAGCTAATACAATTTAATTTCTTATAAAAATAGTTTCAAGTTTCTGGAATCAAAATTAATTGGTGTGTAAGGTTTTGTGGTGTCAGTGTATGATGTCGGTGTTTGTATTTTCTAATAACTTTATAAATTCATATCTTGAGTTATGAGTGTCTGATTGACACGTCGTTCGAATCGTTAGGAAGATGATTTAGTGTACTTTGACTTAAAATTAATTTTTCTACCATAATTCCAATTATTCAACGTGTGGACATGTGTTTGGTGTGTAACGAGTTATGTTGTTTTGTGGAACGTGTGCAAATGCATTGTGATTGTTTGCTATATCGTTGGTTTGTTGTTGCCGCATATTTTGGCAGGTATTTGGTGCATGGTGGCCAATAGTGGCGAGGTAAATTTACTATGGTGAAGGTCTTTGTGTATGTTATTGTGTATGCATAATATGTCGCATGTATTCATAGCGTTGGACAGAGGTTCATATTTGGTGAGCCTCAATCCCATTATGCGAATTGGGTGCGAGTAGATGCCCCCTATGGTGATAGATTAGTGAAATATTATATTGGTAACGATTTTGGATGGAGATCCGTTTGGAGAGCATTGATCCTAGGTAGGGATCAGAACGGTGAACCTGAGAGTTCACGTCTTAGTACCACATGCATTGAGTCTATGTATTTGAGTCTCATTGCATTGCATTGGTGTGTTGTTGTTGTTTTGTAGGTATGGAATATGTTCTTAGAATGTATGTTGTACTTGTAATAATTTACTGCTCACTTGTTATTAAGCATTCCATTATATAATTATGATATCTCATCCTTACTGTTTGAATGTCGCCTCTACATGGATAACGTGCAGATACTTTGGAGTAGTTCAGCATTGAAGTGAGTGGAAAATGGAGTCTTCCTTTTATTTTTGTTAGAGTCGGTGACTGCTCTGATGTGTAACACTGGGGAACAAAATGTTTATGTTATTTATGTTTGTGAGAGATTATTTAGAATCTCTAGAACTGTTATAAATATGTTTATTTTCCTTCGAAGCATAATTATGCTTTAAAATTATTAAATTGTTATGTGTTGATTTTTTTCCGGTGCTTAAATCAAAAGTTGAAGTTTCAGACATGTTTTGTTGTTATAATTATTTTTAATAATTTCTGAAATAATGTGTTACATATCTGATTGCATGAGTAGGTTTTTGTTAATTGTGATATCCTAAATGTTATATATTAATATTACTCTGATGATTATTATAAAACACGTGGGGGATATTTAGGGTGTTACAACTAATACCACCTGGTCGAACTTAGGATCCAATGGCCTCAAGATCTTTGCGATAACTGATCTTGTTGTCATCACTTCTCCACATATCTTGATTTGATTTACCAATTTCGTAACCCTAGTGAAGAAATTAGTTATGCTTTCACTTTCTTCCATCTGAAGCATTTCATATGTTCTTTTGTTAGTTTGTAACCTCAACTCTTTCACCTTTTCCGCATATCCAAACGATTTTTCCAGAATATCACATGCTTCTTTCGTTGATTCAACATCGCTCAGCTTTTTGAAATGATCTAGATCAACACATTGATGAATTATAAAGAGAGATTTATAATTCTTCTTCTTCAATTCTTTGTGTGCAACCTTTTCTTCATTTGTTGCGTCATCTTCAATCGGTGTTACTCCTTCTTTCACAAGATCCTAAAGATTTTTATAACAGTAAACAATCTTCATCCATTTACACCAATTCTCATAATTTCGACCCTTCAAAATTGAGGGACTCGTCGGAAAATTCCCATTCGGATGATTCATTGCCATCGAGTTTCGCTTCCCACGAATCGCTCAGCCAGTGCTCTAGATACCAGATATTAGAATTGCACCAAATCTATGGAGAATTATGAATCAATCTTATTGAACAAGATTTAATCACTGATTGCATTCCCTCTTGTTATGAACTCTTCACTCAAGTGAATTAACCAATCTTGGTTGCAAGATGATTCTCATTGCACAATTATTAATGTAAGAAGAAAGATGAAAAATTGAGGAAGAAAGATGATTTAGGGTTTGAACAAAATAAGAGAAGAAAAGAATTTTCTGCAGAGTTTTTCTCTGCTCATAAACTATGAATATTTTTTATTTTGCAACTGCAATGTTCAAGTGATTACAATAATAGGGGTTACTCCCTATTTATAGGTTTATGTTTGCTTGCTCTCTAAGCCAAAATCCAAAACCAAAAGCGCAAAATACATAATTCTATTAACTACAAAAATATATCTAAGTCGAAATCTCCGTCGAACAACATGCTTCAACTTTTCGATAACCAAACAAATCGACAGACGCACTAGATTATTCAACACTATCTTATTTCTGTTGAGCAACATACTTCAACATAAAAAATTACAATCTCAATAATTTATATGACAAAAAAGACAAAAATTAAAACTTAATTAGTGAGAGACCAAAATAAATAAATAAAACCCTTAATTTGTTCTATCTTCATAATTTTTCAGACTCTACCACTGATTTTCAAAATAAAATTTATTTATTTGGTTTCATTAAACAAGTTTTGATTGAGTAATCGTCAAATCCAAGTAGTATTCATTACCAAGTCTTTGCATTACTTAGCTTTATGATTGAATATTACTACATAACTATTGAATTATTGTTCCTATGGCCCATTTCTTTAAGTTAACCTATAGTACAAAGTAAACAAGTAGATCGAATATCCAATCGAATGTACGCCGCAGCAAATTATTTTTATTCATAAAATCTTCCATATTTCATTCAAATATAGAAAACATAACAATTATATTCCTAATCAATGATATTTATATAATCAAACAAGGTTTAAAAGAATATTATTATATCAATATATACACACTTCATCCTCTTGTCTTACTCATTAAAGCATATGGGGTAACTTGCATTTCTTTTTGCCTCTGTCAACATGTGCATAGTAATAAAGATAAAGAAAACATAATACAAGACAAAGATCAGAAATCTATAGTACTAGTTACCTTACCCCACCACATGGTCAATATCATGGAGCATGTCTTTGTCAAAGAACCAAGTAATTTTATAAAAAATTTATTTTGTTTGTAACTTATTTTTATAAAATTGATTTAGAAAACGATGAATTTTATTTTTTATAACTAATTTTAAGTTTGATTTTTTTATCTTTATAGAAATTTAGTTTCTTAAAATATGTCCTCTCAAATTTTAAATAATTCAGAAGTATTGAATTTGGTGCGTGTGAATATAAATAATTTTTGTTTAAATTGATATAGAACTTGATATTATATTTAAAAAAAATTTATAATAGATCTTACGTATTTGTACAAAACCCATCTTAAGCTTGGACGTGACACTTTTTATTAGTGTTCTAAAATTCGGGCAGGTGATTGACTCATTTGAGACATTGTTTTATTACGTCACTAGTTGGAACAATGTGTTAATATTATTTATTTCTTATATAATTATAACTTTCATATGTTAAAAATTATAAATGATACAAAAGTTATGTATTAATAAGATAAAATATAATATTGTAAATTTTTTTATTCAAATGTTTAATATTAATAATTTAATTTCTAAAAAAACATATTGCAAAATAAGTGAAACTAAGTTAGTTGTGAAAGAATCATGCGAGGGAGGATTAATGAGGCATTAATGGAAGTGCTGGAAATAAAATCTCCATCTTGATTTATTTCACTATAAAGGGGATTAGGGCAGGGAAGTTTGCAAATCTCGACAAAATATTCAAGTGATAGAGATATATGATGCTATCGAGCTTTAGATGTAATAACATCATATGGATATTTGAGGTTGGTGAAGAACGTCCTTAATACTTAATAGAGTTGGATAGATCTCCCTCCACAATGTCTTCTACATCATCTTCAATAACCTCAACCACAATGGTAACCTTCCTATTTCTCGCAAATTTGCTAGTGTCGGCAATATCCTTCTTATTTTTATCTACTACACTTTTCTTTCTTGGTTTTTTGGAGTAGCCACCCTTTTTACGGGGGTCTTTTGAGTTTGAGGATATTGTTCTTCTTGTTGGCCTTCTTTTTACTCTTCTTTTCACACTTCTTCTTTTTATTATTAGTAGGAGTACTAAGGGTCTCCACATCAACATTCTCAATATTTGCATCAACATTGTTAGTCACAAACTTACCAATGTCATCCTCAACGATGGTGTTAACCATGTTCTCATCATCTTGAGTAGCATTTTTCTCAGAGAAAGTATTTTCATTGTCTTGATGCATTGGTGACTTTGTCTCTAGAATGTGGGACTGATTGTCCTTCACATCTTTCAACATTTTTTGTTCTTCTAGGCTAGTTTCCTCGGTTTCATTTTCCATATTATTTTGAACTCCATCTTCTCCCGATACCTCTTCACAATTTTGCTTTTCAACTTCATCACGATTTTCATCATTAGCAGGTTCTTCATCATTATTTGCAGTAGGGTTTGGATCTATTGATTTTTCTATCACATCATTTAGAATGTCAACATTATTGTTGACAACATCATTCAGATCATCAGCCAAACTAACATCAGGTTCTTCAACACTAGAATCTTCACTACAAGAAAACATCAAATTAGCCAGGTGTTATTCACCTCGCTAAATAACACACTTGCGAGGTGATATTCACCTCGTAATATTATTTTTTTTAATTGTAAGGTTTTCCATCTCGCATCATATGGGAGGAAATTTAAAATTTTTGAAAAGAAAGTTGCGAAGTGATAAACACCCTGCAACTTTTTTTTTTAAAAAATTGGGGGGAAATCCACTAGTATAATTATTGTTGCGTCAGTGGTGTCAGGTGAGCTGTATTATTACAAATTTTTCCAGGTGAGTTACACCCCACAACTTTCAACGGAAAAAAAATTTGCCAGGTGATTTTCACCTCGCAAGCTTCCTTTATATATGACCATTTCACTTTCCTTTTTTTCCATTCCAGATTCATCTTCCTTGTTTCTTTCCATTCTGTTTCTTCACAAACCCTTTCCCAACCCCTCTAAATCTCTCAAATCTCTTAATTTAACACCAAATCAAGACTTCAATACTCAAATTTTTTGCTGAATTCGGTTTTGCTTTCCATATTTTCATCAAATTCGTTTACAAAGGTACACATATTAACAAATTGTTTTTTTAGAAACATATGAATATTTTCTTATGGTTAAATTGGTTTGTATGATAGAAACATATGAATATTTGTTTAGAGTATATATATATATATATATATATATATATATATATATATATATATATATATATATATATATATATATATATATATATATATATATATATATATATATATATATATATATATATATATATATATATATAATCATTTCGCTTTCCTTTTTTTCCATTCCAGATTCATCTTCCTTGTTTCTTTCCATTCTGTTTCTTCACAAACCTTTCACAAACCATTTCCCAACCCCTCTAAATCTCTCAAATCTCTCAATTTTAACACCAAATCAAGACTTCAATACTCAAATTTTTTGCTGAATTAGAATTTGCTTTCCATATTTTCATCAAATTCGTTTACAAAGGTACACATATTAATAAATTTTTTTGTTTAGAAACATATGAATTCGTTTGCATGATATTTGTTTAGATTGGTCTGGTTTGTATGATAGAAAGATATGAATATTTGCTTAGGGTTAAATTGGTTTGTATGATAGAAACATATGAATATTTGTGTGATACGGTGGAAGAACTGACTTTTCTTTTATCCAAAAGGAAAGGTGAAAAAGCACAGGAAAGACCTTTGAGATTATTTCTTGAGTTCGGGGGGTAGATTAGGAAAAGGGAAGGTATTAGTACCCTTTTCATCCATGGTTTTCCATTGGCTCTTAGTTACTTTCTAGATCACTTGCTTTTTGTTTTAAATTGTGATTTGTGTGTTTTTTGAAAGTATTTTGTAAATAGGCTATTGTTTAGGCAATCTTTGTAATGATTCTTGTTTGTAAGAATGTATACAAAGATGTTGATCTTTTGAAAATGTTTTCAAGTTTGTAAGATGTTTGAAAGTGTAGGTGATTGTTTTGAAAATAGCAAGGATGTTTTGTTTTGAAATTGAACAAGTAATTAGGAGCATCCTACTCAAAAAGTCTTTCTTGTTCATTTTTTATTTTCCTTTGACATTGTTGTCTTACCATTGATTTGGTAAGCAACCCTATCTTTGGATGTAAATGGGACGGGCGTGGGTCATACTATAACCATGATTAGCAATGTTGTAAGGTATCTTAGCATTCTTTTTGAGGGACTAAGATCATTTGTAAAGCAACTTAGATAGCGTCAGCGAGGGACTATGATCTTGTATTTGCTTATTTTTGCTAAGATACCTTACATGCGTAATATGGCCATTTTGTATAAGGCAACCAAGTGGAATAACCCTAGGGGTGCTTGTGTACAAATCTATTGTTTTCATGCTTGTTTTTGTCTTGAATTAGGGTTTTCTAATTATTGGTTTTAGTCTTTCCATACAAACCCTAATTACTAGCATGTTATATAAAAACGATAAATTGCGAAATTTAAAGTTACTACGCTATTACAATATTGAATGAGGATTGCAAGAATATAAACATAATTAATCTATTACAACCAAATTAAATTTGATATTAATGTACAAGGAATTAAATAAATACAAAGTACAAAATGAATGAATTGTACAAAAAAATGCAAAATGTAAAGAAAGTGTATCTTTGTTTGATTTTCATAAAAAAAAGGGATTTTGTCTTAACCTAATTAAATAAAGAAAATAATTAATTAAAATTGAATTTTATTAAGAAAATATTTTAAATAAAAAAACTAGTTCTATTAATTAATCAAAAGAAAATAAGTTTAAGAAAATTATTTTTTGGTATTTTTATCTTGAAAATATTTATAGCATTATAAAATATTTTTAGTTTTTTTTTATATAAAAAATAATGTATTTCAGTTAGTATGAAAGAAAATAACTAATAACCTAATTTTATTTATATTTACAAGATAATAAGTAAAAAAATAAATAAAGTTTAATTAATAAAAATATTTTTTGTGAGAAAAATAAAATAAACTAAGTCAAAATATAAATATATCATTTTTTTGTATTTTATGATTTTTTAGTATTTAGAAAATATATTTAAGAAAATAAAAATAAAAACATAAAAAAATAAACAAACTTGGGCCAGGGGTGCCAAAAGCCTGCAAGGGGGTTAGTCAGTAAAAAAAATAAAGAAACAAAGCAAGCCCAATAAAGGCCCAGGCGCTCCAAAAAAGGTCAGAAATGCTAAAAATGTGTGAAAAATGCAAAAAGGGTACCACTGGGGTTCGAACCCAGGTCTCATAGGTTATAGGCGCGCGCTTCTACCATTGGGGTGTCTATACATCCGTTAATACAAGTAAAATAATAAATATGTAAGGCAAAACGCGCCCTGAAGACTTCATCTTCAACCTCCAGTCAGACCAACTGTAACTTGCTTATTTCTCATCAAAAATAAAAACTGCAAACGTGAAACTTGTAGCAAATTTTCTCACGATTCCAGAAATGTAAAGTATTAAAACTATAGATCAAAGATAAGCATGAATTTTAATGGCCCTAATCTGAACCCTAAAATTTTTAGAAATTTCAGTTTCAAAATTCTCTAAGCTCAAGCAAAATTAATGAAAACTATGCACATAGTTAGCTTCAGGGCAATGATATCTACATGTTTTATTCACAAATGAACTATTGATGATGTGTGTATGAAGAGTTCCAAGTTGGGAAAACTTACCTCAAAATTGGAAATCGTGTTTGGAGTTTGAGCTTGTTTCAAGTGATGGTGATGATCATGTTAACTTCCTTGAGGTCCTAGGAAGCTAATGCAATGGTTTGCTTGAGTTGAGAGTGGCTGAAATGACTTGGAGAAGTCAATGTGAAATGCTCTGTTTTTGGTTATGGAGGATATGGTAAATGATGTTACAGTAATGAAACAGGGACAGGGATAGGTTACACTTGATGTAAGGAAGCTTTAGAAACTAAAAGGCCAAGAAATGCACGAGGGAAATGTGAGTTTGATGTTCAAGGTCAGAAACTGTGCAACAATGGAGTTTTTGAGCAATTTTTGATTTGAGAGAGTTTTGGTGTGTTTCAGGGTGTTCAAGCTCGTTTTCTAACTCACAAATAGTGACTATATATATAAGCAATAAGTTTGGAGACTTCTTCTTGATCAAAATTCAAAATCACAAGTTTATGCATAACATGTGATTTTTTGAGAAATTCAAGTTTCCATGCTTTGTACTTGGTTCATAGAGTTGTTAACCACTTTAAGTACAATACTTCTCACTTTGTGGATGGAGTGTAATCAAGGAAAACAAGTTGGGAGCTCAAGAAGCTGATTTTGTGCATAAAGCTTGCTTTACAAGAATGTATATGTTACTTTCTCCCTAAAATGTCAAATTGATTTAGACAAAGCTTGAAACACTTTGATAAGGGCATAATAAGTTGTGTAAACTATTAATTATGGAGTGACAAACAAGTTTGATGCCTGCAAAGCAAGGATTATGCAGCCTAGCATGGATTTGGTTCATGTGTTCATAAAAAATGACTTGTAATTCAAGTGACAAAACCCTAACTTCATCTCTTCGATTCTCCATACTCAAGAATGATCTTAAGGAGTTATGGGACATTTTGGAAAGCTTGTGATGTTCTCTAAAACCCATCTGTAAATATATTTTGAAGATTCCTCTTGGATCTATATGAAAAAGTTCCATGAAGTTGGGTCAAAATCCTGACCAAATTAGGGCAAAATTTCACAAAGTATTTAGTTTCATGACCCTATGTTCTTAAAATTATAACTTGAGATACAAGCACTTTTGGAAGAAGTTGTGTGAAGAAAAGTTGTAGATTTCATGGATATCTACAACTTTCATGTTGTAAGTTTCTCTTGAATCATCTCGCATCATGGTGAAAATTTTGCTCAAAGTTATGAAAAAACGTGAAATTTCAAACACCTAGAAAAATTTCTAAGTTTAGAAATTTGACTTTTCAAAATGAAATCTTGACTTTTTGATTTCTTGATGAATAAGTTTCATATTTTGACATGTTTTGATAAATTATGATCTTTGGCACTTGATTTTGACCAAAAAGTCAAAGTTTAACTTTTCAGTATACAGTTGACTTTTGATTAGTTGACTGCAAAATTCATCTGTCGATTCAATGGACTTGCAATGTTTTGAACCATGTCATTAGGTCAAAATTATGCAATTGGACTCTTGAGATCATGCCTTAAACCAATTGATCATTTTCTAGGTCAAAAATCAGAAATTGCCCTTTCCCAGTCAAAACCCTAATTTTGACAATTTTGCCCTTTTGGAGATTTGATCAAAGTTATTGAGGAGTTATGGTCCAAACTTGATCAAATGATAAATATGAATTTAAAATATTTATGTGGATAAAAAATTATGAAGTTTAACTGTAAATTGGCCATAGTTGACTTTTTCCCCAACACAACTGATTTTTAGGTCAACTGCTTAATTGACTGATCAAAAGTGTGATCCAAGGTTTGAAACATGACATGAGTAATCTTGGGGGTCCATAATGATCCATGAAAGGTAATATGAAGCATTGGAATTTCAAAAATCCTTGTGCAATCTCAAACCCTAATTTTGGTCATCAGTGTATAAGGAGGTGTCTTGACCTGATCAAACCCTAGTGCAGTCTTGAACCCAAGGAGATCTTATGAGAAAATTCTTGATAAGTGAGAGGGAAAATTTTGGGGTACATCAATTTGTTTAGAGTATATATATAACATGATTTTTAGTTTGTTAATATGTTTTTAAGTTTGATATAAGAAAAATAAAATACTATATAATCTGTTTATAAATGTGTTAATAATTTTTTTCCATTTTTTCATAAATAAGTAAATAAATAAAATTATGGATTTAGTTTATTATTTTTGTAAAACAGTTTAATAATATATTGTTTAAAATAAAAAAAAAATTAAAACCGAAA